ACCACCGAAGAAAAAAAAAAACGGCCCGGAAACCAGTTAATTTTCTAAAATTGTAAAAGCGGGCTGTAATTATTCGTACAAGCAGTGTACTTAAAAGATTGGAAAGTTTACTCCGGGTCTTTTTCGAAAGTGACAGTTGCACTTGCGTCTGCTCCGCAGAAGGTACAGATGGGAATTGTAACTGTAACAATGCCCAGAGAGTCTGGATCCCAATTTTAAAAGTTACTTCACCAATTAAAATAATTAATTATTCTACCGATTAATTTTAAAAAAGCGCATTAAAATAGTTTTTCAATGTTTGTATGCAGTCGGAAATTCCGATATATTGCTTTCTTGATTTCCGAGAAAATGAAATGTGACGTGTTCGCGATGCAAAATAAAAATAAATAAAAGATTTTTATTCAACCTAACCGCCAATGTTTAAATTCAGGCTTTATACTTGCTATTCTTTATATTATTTATTTATTTTACATATGGGCTTATTATAAAAATAAGTAAAACAATAGTAAAAATATTCATACAGTAAAATTAAATTATACATAAGTTTTCTTAATAATATATTAAATAACATATTAGATTAAAAATATTGAAAAAACTAATCGAATGACAATTGAAAATATATTATTTATGATAATTACAACAGGTTAAACTTAGCATTAATGAAAACTAAATTAAATATAATCGTTCCGATTGACCAAATAACTTCTTTCAATTAATTAATTTTTATGTAAGGTATTGGTTAAGATAAAAAAATGGCAAAAAGGAGGAAAATTCGAAAGGTAGGTTGAAATGGGAGGTTGGTGTCCGAGTGGATCGAAGTCACGATAGCTCAAGTGGTTAGACCAGCGGTATGTCGAGCCGAAGGTCGTGGGTTCGAATCCCGCTCGTGATACTAACTTTTTCATTTCAACCAATACCTTACATAAAAATTAATTAATTGAATTAAAACTTGAGAAAATAGGGTTTTACGAAAGGAAGGTGGAAGGTTGGCAGGATCTAGTGGTAAAATTCATACTCATAAGAAAAAGTAAAACAATAGTATTCATAGATTGAAATGAAATTGTACATAAGTTTTCTTAGTAATATTAACTAAAAATATTGAAGAAAAACTGATCGAATTAAAATAGCAAATATATTATTAATGATAATGTCAACAGGTTAAACTTATAATTATTTAGTCAGAAATCGTGAGATGCGGTCTGGTGTGATGTAGGTTTCAGAAAAACATTTTCTTTATCGTGCCAACGTTTCGATCTTTATTGAGATCATCTTCAGGGCCTGGGATTCACTAGTTTTCGTGGTCCGCTTTACCAATTAATATCTTTCAATTAATTAAGGCTTTTAGTCGAGATAAAAAAGTCAGTGTCACGAGCGGGATTCGAACCCACGACCTTCGGTTCGCCGCTACTCTACCACTTGAGCTATCGTGACTTCGATCCTCTCGGTTACTAACTTCCAAACTCAACCCCACCTTTTGAATTTTCACGAGCCGAAGGTCGTGGGTTCGAACCCCGCTCGTGACAGTGACTTTTTTATCTCAACTAAAAACCTTAATTAATAGAAAAATTAAATATAAAATAGTAGATAATAGAAATATTGCTTAAAAGGAAATACTAAAAAAATAATACAAAAACATACAAAAAAGAAAAGAGTTGCTCGCGATTAATTTCGAATTACAGTTGCAAATATATTATTAATGATAATAAGAACAGGTTAAACTTAGCATTATTAAAAACTAAATTAAATATAACACAATTGGCTATAGAAATATATAAAATTTAGAAAAAAAATATAAACCTATATAAAAAAACAACGGAGAATAATATTGCTTAAGAGGAAAAGAGTTGCTGCCGTTTAATTTTGGAAAAATTTCTCGGAAAATTGTCTTTTAATATCGGAGATTGAGCAGTTGAAAAAATCTACTTGTGAATTATTGGCATTTTTCAATATTCTGTTAATTCCGGTGAACTTGAGAAAATCGGCTTTTAGTAAAGGAATGTGGAAGGTTTGGCAGGATATAGTGGTATAATTTGGGAAATTGGGGGAAATAGAACGAAGGATGTCTGGACAGTCGATGGTACTATGGAGGAAAATAAAATTTATTTGTTCTCTCCGGGATGAAAGTGACCTAATTTGAAAAAGTTGCCAATATCCTTAGGAATTTATTCAGAACCTTTTCTACTTCGTTAATATTTGAATCAGTGTATGGAGACTAAATCGAATTTCAATACTCTTACTTCTAACAAGGGAACTAAAAAGAGTTTTATGTGAATTTACAATTTTTCGTGTTTATTGAAATAAAGCTTAATGTTTTATACGATTTGAGGCATATGCCTTCTACGTGTGAGTTAAAAGAGGGAGAGGAATTAAAAGTTAAGCCCAGGTCACAGATTTGATGGACAACTTTGAGCTGTTCACCTTGAAGACAATAATTTACAGAGGAAGGAGACTTGGATCGATGAAACGGATTATGAGGTTTTGTTGTGATGAGCCTGCAGTTTGGTACTTCTGATCATCTTAGCCTTGCCTATTCTCGATGGTTTTGTCTTTGTGTTGTTTCGTATATCCTTTAAAAAATAATATAATTTAGACTCAACCTTGATAAAATCGAGAAAGAGGACGTCGGACAGAGCAAAATAACAGGACTGGCATACCAAACTGATCGTAAACTTCAGGTCAATCCGATAAGAGACAAGACAAATTTCAACATTATAAATGCTATTATATATCTATTTCTCCAGGTCTCAGTGAGTGGCCCACAGCTGAAGATGACGAGAAGCAGGGAGCGTCTGACAGACCAAAATAAACAAGTATTGGCAGATAAAAATGATCAAAAAGGACAAAATTACTGGTGTATCTCTCAGTAAGATTTATAAAAGAAATCTCACTATTATAAATATTCTTTTATGACTATTAATGCTGGAGTGTGTGACAGAGCAACTGCAGAAGATGTCGAGAAGCAGGATGCATTTCACTATCATGTTTATCAGTTATCACCCAGCAGAACGCCATGAAAAAATCTCACTACTGTAAATATTCTCCATTTATTCTTCCCGGAAATTGCGACAGGCAGAATACTGAGAATGACGAGAAGCGGAAAGCTTCTCACAGACCAAAACGGCGAAAATTGGTAGACCAAAATAATCAGAAGAAATGGCTAAACTTCAGGTTCATCACCCAGCGCACCAAGAAATCTCGTTATTATAAATATTGTCCGTCTTTTAGAGGGCCTTTGTGATAGACCCACCACTGAAAATATAGAGAACAAAAAGTTTCTGATTGACCAAAACAAGGAAGATTGGCAAACCAAAATGATCGAAAATGACCAAACTACAGGCTCATCGCTCAGCAGACCTAAAGGCAATTTCAACAAAACAAATGCTCTTATTTGTCTTTTGTTTCTTCTTTCTGAGACAACCACTGAAGATGTCGAGAAGCAGAAAGCGTCTGATAAACCGAAGCAGCGAGTATTGGCAGATAGAAATAATCAGATACCACCGAACTACAAATTCATCGCTCACAGATCCAAAGATAAAATTTCACTATAATAAATATCCTTATCTCTCTTTTATTTCTCGTCTCTGGGACAACCACCAATGAAGATGTCGAGAAGCAGAAAGAGTCTGACAAACCGAAGGAGCGAGTATTGGCAAATAAAAACTATCAGGAACTAACAAATTGCAGGTTCATCACTCAGTGAAACTTATAGAAGAAATCTCATGATTAAAAATATTCCTATCCGTTTTTTATTGCTTGACCGAACCACCATGGAATACGACGAGTAGCAGAATCGTCTGCCATCCAAACAGCAAGGATTAGCAGACAAAAATTAATTTTTTTACAAATACTGTTAGCAGTACGTTTCTTATAATCTGCAGAAAGATATCTTGAAGGGGAAAGGGGAATGCGATGTAAATCAGCGAAAAAGACGGACCAAGAATTAGTTCAATATATCCACTCACAGACTAATCAAAAGTTTGTGCATTTTAACTTTTTTTGTCAGGTTTTTCGGCATTTTGCCAATCTTCAGCGTTCTTTGTATGGTAAAGTTTGCTGGTTTCGGGCCCAACACTGAAGAAGCCGAGATGGCAAAAGCATCTGACAGACCACAACAGCGAGGTTTGTCAGATAAAAATGATAGGAAACTACCGAACCTAGGTTCCATCACCCAGCAGACCCAACGAGGAAATCTCACTATTATCATTATCTGGATTGTCCGTTGTTGCTGGTTTCAAGCCCAACACTGAAGATGCCGAGAAGAAGACAGATAAAAACAGCATGATTTGTCAGATAAAAATAATTGGAAATGACCAAACTTCAGGTTCTTCACCCAATGAGACCTTAAAAAATCTCATGATTACAAATATTCCTCTACGTTTTTTTTATTGCTTGACAAAACCACCATTGATTATGTCGAGAAGCAAAATCGTCAGTCACTCAAACAAAAGCATTAGTGGACAAAATTTTATTTTGTTTACAAATTCTGATTAGCAGTATGAGTTATTTGGTTCTTTATATCTTCAGGAAGATGTTTTGAAGGCTAAACGCGAATGCGATGTAAATCAGCGAAAATAGCCGGACCAGGAATTAGTTCAATATATCCACTCACATTAATCTCTACTAATGAAAAGTTTGTGCATTTTAACTTTGTTTTTGTCAGGTTTTTCGGAATTTTGCAATTTTTGTGGCTTCTTTGTCTGGTAGTTTGACAAAATAGCACATTAAGGTACGATGATGGCGAAACGCAATGGAAAGTAGGCAGACCTGGAGAAAAAATCTCGAGTTTATCGCAAAATACAAGAAATATTATAGATATTGCAAAAAAGCAATGACATTTTAACGAACTTATTATATTTTATAGGTAATGTAGCACTTAGAGGTTTTAATGTTAAAAGGAAGTGAAACCTTTATGGAATTTAAAGGTCAAGCATGTGAGTGCTAGCGAATTCGATAATATTTAACGTCATAGTTTATTTTTTATGTATTATAGAAAAAATTACCTTGGTTCCTCTGCAACTGGCATGTCTTTTGAAAGGGGATTGCCCAGTTTTGTGATCCAGAGGTTCATGGGTGGATGTGGTCGTACCCATTATTAATAATATAACACAAGACACAAAGGATCGAAGAAAAATGTTCCGAGGTGCGAAGAACGAAAAGAAAAAGAGACGAAAACCAAACGCGACCACCACTATCTACACATCTCGAAGACGGAGCCGAAGACGCCCGTGAGTGAGTTTAACGATGGACTAGACACGACTAAAGCCCCTCTTCGGACGGAGTGTTGTAACGGTTTTCCTATTGTCCGGTACAGTCCGACAAGGCACAAGTCCGATGGTTTATCTTCGGACGCCGGTCTTGACAGCAGGTGTCGAAGGGTCCCTCAGGGGAAAAAAAGGAAAGCGATCCGGGGAAAGGACGAGGGCGGCTAACGTGCCGATTTACCCGGGGGCGAACGTTGGAGGATGGCACTCGGGCTCACGGACAATGCGACTGTACGTCGGACCGCATGAGAATTCCAGGCTGAGGTGTGGGGGCTAGGATGGTGGGGGACTGATCCAACGCGTTCCATTGTACATTCGACTCAGACCTCAACTGTCTTTCAGCCACGTGCTTTTCAAATTCTCTTCGAAACTTAAAAAATATAAAATTTTAAATACATTTGTTTAAAAAAAGTACTCCCATAGAACACTGCAATCTTCAATAAATTCATAGCATGAACCACTATTTTCATTTTCATAGGTCAAATATATATTTAAAAAAAATCATTTTAAAAATCCTACTAAGACATTAACTTTATATTGACTTTCACACAATAAATTAACCTTCATTTAAAGTAATTTAACAAAATATGCAGAAAATTTTCTAACTTGCTTCAGTTGAGATTAAAGCGCCATCTCTACTTGATCCTAGAACTAAAAGCTCAAGTCCAGCGTAAAAAAACGAAAACTATATTAATTAAATTGAAAATAATAATTGAGTAGGTCAATTATATATTGATAAATAGAATTTTTCGAAACGCAATTAATTTGTCACAAGTACGTCGATTTATTTTATTTTTAATGATTATTTAGAGATCGTGAGATGCGGTCTGGTGTGGCAATTTCATAAAGAATTTTCCTTTTGATTTGTACAAATTATTTGTGAAGACGATGTACACCATAACATGATATAATTTCAATGTATCTCGTTAAATGTAAGAAAGGTCCTTTAGTCGTAGTTTTGCGAGTAAAAATAAAATGATAAATTCAAATCAAATCTCTCTCTCCTATTTTCTCTCTCTCTCTCTCTCCCTCTCCTAGATAAGCAAGTTTATATTATAGAAAGGTCAAAATAACGCAAAGAAAGTTAGCAGAAGGGAGAACATACAGACCTATGATAGGATTGCTTAACTAAGCATTATTTTATTATTTAAAAAAAAATCGTTTTCTATCATTTTGGTCCACCTATTCTCACTGTCTGCCATGCTTCGTTCTCTCGCCATCTTTAGTGGTTGGTCAAAATTGCGAAGAAGTTATAGTCCAAGATAATTAAAATCGACCAAACAAGGATTCATCACCCCGAAGACCTCTAGAGAAAAATCTCAGAATTAATCATTATTTAGAAATGCGGTCTGGTATGACGTAGGCTTTAGAAAAAAATTTCTTTATGGCTCCTACGTTTCGATCTTTATTGAGATCATCTTCAGAGCCTGGGATTTATAAACATTATTTAATTTATACAAACATATGTAAGAAAATGAATTTATACAATGATGTACACAATATAGAAATTTTAGGTTTAATCGAACTATTTGTTCTCGTTCAAAGTGTGTTTTTTCTGTGTAGATGTGACATTGTGTGTCGTGTTGAGAGTGTTAGTGAGATATTAATGTTTTTTGTTTATATATGTTTGATTTTGATGAAGTGGGGAAGGAAGTAGAGATAGAAATCTATTTTTCTATGAGTTTTTTTTCTTTGAGGTAAAAGGGGCCGACAATGGGAAAAAAAGGGTAATGGTGTGTTGTTCTGGCCTGAATAACCTTTCAAGATTATTATAGACGGGGATTATTAGGGAAAGGAGAGATAAATTGTTGAAGAATTAGACTGTATAGAATTGTTTGAAGTGTGAATGTTTTATATGTTGTATTATATGTTTTGTATGTTGTTGATATTGAATTTGATTTATGATGTTAGCATAGATGCGGCTCAGTTTGTGTCTGTTTTGGAATTGATGGTGTGTTTGTCCCTGTTGATGTAAACCATTTGTAAAAAGTTACGTTTATGTTTGTTTTGTTCTGTGTTTAATATTTTTGGATTGCTGAAATCGAAGTTGTGTTAGTGTTCAAAATGGTGGATAGGCAGTGCTTTAGGATTTTTACTATCATAGATATGTAGTTTTACCCTCTTAAAAGAGATTAAAAGAAATGGCAGCGTCGATGGATTGTATCCGCAGAGAAGCACTCAAGTATCAAAAACACTGTTGATAGGTAGTGCTTGGAATCTTAGAAGGGCCATCTTCACCTGATTAAGAATAGGCCATGTCAGGTTGACACACAGACATTTACGTTTTGAACAGAGTCAGTATAGAAAAAGGTTGCTCGAACCTAAGGGTGCAATTCCTTGGCTCCATTCCAACTGCGTAGGAATGCTAGCCAATATTGTGCTTGGGCACGGCAGTGGTCTGGTTACCCTGTTCCGATTTTTGGAGGAAACGGGGCTGTTTTATTAAATGTAATTACGATAGTTTTGTGTCCCATAGGGAGTGTTGTGAGTGAATGTATTTATTAGCACGAATGTATCCTGAGAGAGGATCGTTGGCGGAATATTGAGTACCGATCCTCAATTAGGTGAGTTAGTACCCACCTAGCTATCGGTAGTCGCTGGAGCCCAACCTTGGTTAAATACCGATAAATACAAACTAATTGTAGTGCTCTAGCACAGTTGTAATGCAATAATAACAATAAAATAAACTCCACTACTACTAAATGGATTTTAATTTTGATAAGAATTACTTTTAAAAGAGAGTCTGTACTGTCTGAGTAAGCATCAAAATCTAAAGGTTTTCTGAATTTAAGCAATATTTCAGGATCATTTAATAGTTCAAAGAAATATAAAAAATGTTATCATTTTTGGGTGATAGTTTCTAACAAAATATTTGATCTATTACAATTCTTTAATTTGTCTTAGTATACTACGAATTCTTAATTAATTTAAAAAATAGTGCGTCGTTAATTTTTGGCAATATTATAAAAAAAAATAAGTGTATAAGTTATTTATTTAAAAAATTCTATAATTGTTTGTGGGTGTTTTTTTAAACCATCACTTGCTACAATAGCTTGCCTATTATTACTCTACAAAGTGAAAAAACAAATCCATTCAAAATAATGATGTTTGGTGAAAAGTTTACAAAAAGATAAGAAAAATTAAACCATCTTCAAACAGCTTAAGCTCATCATGGCAAGATTCGTCAGGACTCTTCATTCGCAACATTCTAAAATTCGGAATCTCACGGGAACAATTTCATTCTGGGCAAAAAAGTTTTTGTTTAATAAACAAAACATGTTTAAAACTTTTTAATACCTTAAAATAAAATTGCTTGATTATATTCAAATTTTTTTATTTAGTTGAATGGTTTTGAATATCGGTCGAAATTTTACATTTAGCTCAATCAACAATTAATGCTTATACATTTTTTCAATGTAATACAATCGTTTTAACTGGGTTAATTACACATTATTTCAATTAAATTTTTTATTGCATTTATTGATATTTACAACTACAAATATCGTATTAAGTAAATATGTTAAATTTGTCATTTGAGTCTCTTGCAGGAGTGGCAATTTACATTTAAATCTCTTCAGTCTTCACTCAATGAGAAGGCCTCTGTATTATCATCATATGTGTTGAAATGTTAACATATTATAACATAACATAGCAGGAATATCTGAAATGTATATTAAAAACAGAAATGGACCAAGTATGCTTCCCTGAGGAACACCGCCCTAATGCGTATATAAGGTGAGAATTCAGTTCCCTGACGGACTCGGAAAAATCGGTCTGTCAGATAAGGTTTCAGTGTGATCAATTAACTTTTGTTTTTAATCGAAAGTTAAATACGCCATACAGAAATCCTACTGTTACTTGACGGTGATGTTATTTTAAAAATGTTTGTTTCATGGGGAAGAGAAATTCTAAGAAATTTCCTGACCTTATGTTAAGACCAGTTGAATATATAATGTATTATGCCTTCATGTACAGACATAACTGGAGAATCACATCGAAACAATAACAGAGAAGAGAAGAATAATTTGGTTTCAACAAACAACTAAAATAAGATAAAAGAAGCATAGGAGCATCCTTAAGAAAATACAGTTTCGATATCCAATTATTATTGAACATATAAAAATAATTAAAATTTTAGTTCTTTAGTTATTTTTCTTTGCGATTTTTCTTTTTAACATTTTGCAGCGCGTTATAATTTATTTAATTTAATTTTTTTTAGAAAAGGCAATTATTAATTGTGAAGACGTAAAATAAAGATACATTACGATAAATATCCCCGGTTTTTATATTCCATTAGGCATTACGTGACCAGAATAAAAACCGACAGCTTGGTTTTCGTTGAGTATTATTTCTCTAAAGGAGGAAACAACAAACCAAGCTCAAGCACTCTCAAAATTGCTTATGCGTTGTTTACATTCGTTGTTTTTTCATTCTCACTCATTCTCCTTTTTTTCTTCTTTCAATCTTTTTGAATTTTAATTTTTTACCAATTTTACTCTAACAAAAGGTAATACTTACAAAAAAATGTCTAGGCTTTCACCATATATCAACAAAAAACTATAGACTTCCACTCAAGTCTTATACTTAATATATAGACATGAATGCATGGATCCCAATGTATGATTTAAGATACAATAACTTAACAGAGGAATTAGACAACTTTGAAAACTTTTGAACGACAAAAAAAAAAGTACGTAGTCATATTGACTTAACACTCTTTTTGTCAACGAGCTTCCAAAAGTTCACACTTCTGTAACATTTCAAACGTAATAACGGAGCAATTCCGAATGTATCAAGTTAGAGATTTGGCCGAAGAACTTGGAAAGGTAAGAAAGCTCGTCCAAGGTTACTAGAGAATAAAGTAAGTTATTGGTAATAAATGAACCGGTCAATATGAAAAAAAAATTTAGCTTTTAATAATAAATAATAAAATATTTGAGTCATTGACATTAATCGCTGACCGATACTGTGTCAATGTAATTTCTTCTTTTTTTAATTTCAGGTTTTATTGTGAACCGTGCGATATTGAATCCAGTGAAAATGGGTCCTTAGCTACGCCAAAATTGACGTCATTTGTCAACAGACCAGATAAAAAATAACCTATCACGCTAAAGTTTGTTAGAAGGTCAACAAATAAGACGGGAGAAACGTCGAGGAAAAGCAATAAACTCGACGTCATCAGACCCGGAAACCAAAACAGCCAAATATTTAAACAGTCTGTTGAACTAAGCAGTCTAAAGAAGACTTTTGAAGAAAAAGAAAAACAATAATATGATAAATATTGATTTTATGAAACTATAACATTCACAAATTGTTCTTGGTCAAATAAAAATATTCTTAACACTATATGTCGGCATATTTTATGTCCGAATTTAAAATTGAACTTAACACTGGAAACAATCCTGCTCTTGGCTTCGGTCAAATTCTCTATTCGAAGTTTCAGAATCTGCCCCAATTATGTAAAATAATACCTCTTCATTTATTTAATAAAATTCGGATAAATAATATATCGATACTTTCTGCTTGGAAAGTATCAATGGTCAAGCTAATAGACATCCGCAATACGTACCAATGTGTATTGAAGAAGTTACTCAAAGTTTTATTTTGTAATGTGTATAATTTTGAATTGTTGGATAATATTATTATTTTCTGTCAACTAGTATAGTTGTCTATCTTAAGTTTATTTTTGTCCTTTTTTTCTTCACGTGCTTTTCCCATCTCAGCTTGGAATCTAATGTCATTTCCAAGATATTTAGTTCTATCGCTGTATTGTACGATCATTCATTTTAATATAATTTTTTTTGTAAAATTTATATGTACAGATTTATTCTGATTGAGCCTGATTCTCCATTTATTGTCCATTTATTTATTGTATTACAAGCCTTTTGAAGGATTTTCGATGAATTTTTGATAGTCAGTACGTTCATCGCTGTCATCTGCAAACGTTGCAATTTTTACTCCATCTATTTTCGGAAAATTACTTGTATATAACAAATAAAGAAGTGGACCTAATATGCTACCTTGTGGCACTAAGGCATTTGTTGTTATTTTAACTTTAAAATCTTATGGAAATTTGTTTCAAAATAAAGTCGACCGTAAATGTTTTTCAGTTCGCCCAAAAACGTTTGTTCTTTAAGCCAGTCTACCATTGTAGGAAAAAGAAGTCATACTTTTAAAAAATGGACTTAAAAAAGGAGTGTACGATAATGAAGAATCCGTAAAAACCATGTTTGTGTGGAACATTCCTGTTCAGAATAAATCAACGTTATTCTGATTTATGTAACTTTTTAATACCAACGAACATCTTAAGCATACTGTCCGTCTAACCATGACTAGGGAAAAAACGTTAAAAATACGTTTCGTGGACAAACCAATAAAATATAAATATTTATTAACCTTGAACGATCCTGTAGAATATAGAATAATTTTGAGGTTTGTATCTAAATGTAATATGAATAATATTTGTTAATTAAATTATTTATTTATTTGGTTGTTATAGTTATTATTTATTTATATATGTGATATAACACCCATTTCAACAACCTGCATTTAGCCCTTCAGCCAACTGCTAATGCAAAGGGAAAAAATCTTAAACACATAGTAAGCAACCTGACTAAATATTAATTTATGTTGGTACTTTATTTATGTTATTTACTTTCAATCAAATAAGAACTGGGGTAAAAACTACACCACCATAAATATTTTCCTTTCTGTTTTACACGACTTTCTACTCTATTTCTACTATGTTCTAAGAATATTTTTTTTATATGAAACAAACAGTTTAATTTTCCCCGATTATAAATTACTGTGCCCATGTAGGTTTTTGTCTCAAATAAATGACTTTGGGTAGAAGCTTTTAATAAGAAAAATACTGGCAGGAGAAAAAGGCCAGCTAGGCAAACCGTGGGTGCGGTCCGGCATGGCGGGCGTAGTCTATGTCTAGCGCCTTAAATGCAGGTAAGCTTGCAGGGAGGACAAGGGCAAGAACGCCTATCGATTTTCAGTCTATCAAAAATAACCAGCTCCTCCCGGCTTTCATGCTTGAAAAGAATCAAAATTGAATTAGCAAAAAAATCAAGAAATCAAATTATCTAGGTTGTTTTTTCCTTTCATATACTGTATTTATCGAATGGGGTTAAAAGTTTCAAAAGGAGAAAATTGTCTGGGTTATTCATTTAACTGATATAAACAATATTTAATGTTATACTAAAAAAACAAAAACAAGAATAGTCATTGGTCATAAACAATTTATCAATAATTTGGCACAATTACTACACATAAAATCAATAATAAAATTTTAAAGTCACCTGTGAAATAGGTTTATATATATATATATATAATAACACTATTTCTCAAGGAATCAAGAGATTTTAAGATTTTATTATGGATTTTATGTAAGTGTATATAATCGTATACGATAATAAAAAAAAGATTTTATTTGAAGTAATTGTGCCAATTCATTGATTAAATGTTTATGACCAATGACTTTTTTTAGTATTTTATATATATAATAATAGGTTTTATTTAAGTTAATTTTATTATGGATTTTTTGGATGTATATAATCATATAAGATAATATACAAAAAAGATTTTATTTGTAGTAATTGTGTCAATTCATTAATTAAATGTTTATGACCAATGACTTTTTTTAGTATTATATATATACATAATAATAGAAGGTTTTATTTAAGTTAATTTTATTGTGGATTTGTGCATGTGTATATAATCATATAAGATAATATAAAAAAAAGATTTTATTTGTAGTAATTGTGCCAATTCATTAATTAAATGTTTATGACCAATGACTTTTTAGAATTTTATATATATATATATATATAATATTATTAACACACCTTTTCTCTTTTGAAATTGGTCTCGACTCATTTTGGTCGAGTTTTGAGAAATGAAATTTCACCATGATCATTCATCAGTTCTTACATTATCCAAACTATAATTGTTCATTTACTATTAAAGGTTTTTAAAAAAAAAGTTTATCTCGCAATTCTTTCGTTTTGGTTAAAAGTGAACATGTTAACATTTTCAAGGTGAACCACCTCTTACAATTATACCAATAATTACCTTAAAGTTTATAGGTTATTTATTACTACTACTTCAAACTGACAAATAAGGTTTTTGCTTTTTTTATTTTTCATTTACTTTTCAAATACTCANAGTTTTCCTCCGCTTTTCCTCTTATATCTCGTAGACGGCTCGATGGATTTTCTTACTTCCAACGTTTTTCTGTTAGTTTAGGACCGTACTATATTAGAAAGAAGTCAAAAAATTTTTCCGAGTTTTCCTCCGCTTTTCCTCTTATATCTCGTAGACGGCTAACTGGATTTTTTTACTTCCAACGTATATTCGCTTATTTAGATAGATTGATACTTTTATTTACAGTATTATAAACAAACACAAAATTAATAATAAAAACGTATCAAAAATGACAAAAGGTGAGGTCGTGACCCAACATTTAATTAAATGAACTAAACTGATATCAAAATAGAAGATAAAATTTAGTTTCTTCTGATAAAAATACAAGAAAATAATAGAATAGGGATTTTGAAAAGTTTCAAATTGTAATGTTTAAAATAATTTTGTTTGATTTTCGTACTTTGTATTTCCTTTTTCGGCAACACCCCGAAATTTATTTTAATTGGAGTGGGGATAAACCTACCCTCTCCTAGTTTTTGGATGACTTTCTGGGGCAATACTTCTATAAATTCAGAGTGCTCTTGCTGCTCACCCTGGTTGTTTTTCGATTTGACTCAAAACGATAAACGATCATTTTTTCTAGACAGTGAACTTTTGTGCGAACTTGTTGTTTAATTGTTACAAATATGCAACGAGGAAAGGCTTTGGTCAATCTGGCGTTGTCAGGAATGTCAACTCTTGCAGAGTAAGTACATTTATTTTTATTTTTCCATACAGTAAGTACTTGTTGATATTACAAATTTAATAATAACTAATAACTTATTTCGTAAAGCTTGCGTAAAAAATTATATTTTGTTACCATAATATTTATGCATATTTTATATATTTCAGGGAAAACTTTTGTCTAATGCAAAAAGTTGAGGACAAAAAATTCTTCATAAAGCGTGAAAATGAATTAACGAAAGTCGGAAAACATGGCAAAGAGGATTTGTACAGTTTTTCTGATAAGGGAAAAAGCTGCCATGGTATTTTGATTACGAAAAACAGTAAGTAAAATTAATTAAAACCTTAACATCTTTCTGATAAATAAACCCATATTTCAGAATCCAAAAGTGAACTAGAAAATCAAATCTCCTTTTTAAAAATGTTTACGGAAAAACAAGAACATATTGGTGGTTTTGTTCGGACAGATCAGATCAGAGTTGGTAAATATTGGACCTCCTAAAATATTTAAAATAGTTTGACTCAGAGTTGAGATGTGTTTTTTATTTCTCAGATCAAGCACAAGCATCATCGTCTTCGACTGTGGCAATATCAAGAGATGAGGGAGATGAAACAAACGCTGACATTCAGATACCCAGTGGTAAATATATATTTTTTTGATAATATAAATAAATATCTAATAACTCCACAGACATCGATAAATCGCATGAAAAATATATTATTAGCTCCATTTTCTATTTCTTATTTCTGAAATAATCAAATTTTTAATTTTGCACTTAAAAATTTTAAATGAACACAACTTGTAGTTTTTAAGATCCTGAAAATAATACAAATTTGATTTGTTACAGAGCACGTTGAACCAACGCTTACACCTGGCTCATCTCTTGACAAATCCGATAGGAGCAGAATTAAATCTGTTTCACGTCGACTATTTCCGTCTTCTACCTCTGGTGAGTTGGAAATTTATGATTTTTTGCTGGGTATTCAAATGTAAAGAAAAATTAATTATTTATGGTATTTAAACAAATCTTCACATTACTAAAGTAAAATTATTATTGCTATGAAAAATGCTTTAACATCAATAGAATTTACTATCGTTATATCGTTATTATTATCGGCCTGGCCTCATCCCCGATCTACCTTTTGGAAAGAAAAAAATATATTTAAAATGAGAAGGCTGATTAATCACCAAAGTAAATGTTAGAATTTGCTATCGTTATTTCTTGTATAAATAGATGTCATAGGAGACCAACCTGGCGAGGGGACTTCACAGATTTTTCTTCCTCCAAATACGGAGTCACGTGAATTGACAAAAGCAACACATCGCAGTAAGTAATCTTTATTTGATTTATGCATGGGGAATTTACGTATTTTTTTCTGAAGGAAGCATACGATTGAAAATTGGCAAAACAAGTGGCAGTACTAGGTTTTTACCGCAAATCAAGTTTAGTTTGTTAAATAGTTTAATAACGACTTTTATTTTGTTCTAGTTTTGAGATATTCTTATTTTTATTTTGAAAATAGCATTTAGCCATTCGACTTGTAAAAAATAGGTAATTTTTTTCAGGAACTAGTAATAGGAAGGCACATTTTTGCAAGTTTTGCGATAAAAAAATTGTCTATCTATCCCGGCATCTGAAAACGGCCCACGAAGCAGAAGCAGAAGTTAAAAGATACGTTGAAGCGACAGGCTCGTATAAAAACCGTTTATTTGCAAAAATAAAGGGCGACGGGGATGAAAAATACAATCGAGAACATCCTCTGTCCCCTATTGTTTTAAAATGCAATAAGGTTGGAAGTAAACGACACTCTCGTATTCCATGCACATCTTGTAATAATCTCATTAGTTCTAAGAATTATTTTCCTCATTTAAAATTATGCAACGAATCTATATTTGCAAATAGGAGAGTAGAGAAACAGCATGCGAAAGTACGAGCTTTGTCATTACCTCCAACTTTGAATGATTATTTAAAAAATATTATAATGCCGAAATTGCGGGAGGGTAATACTCGGTCATTGTTATTAAAAGACCCCTACTTAATAGAGCATGGTAATATGCTGAGCGACAAATATGCTGGAGAGGATCAGCACAAAATGATTTTATCACATATTAGGACAATTTCAAAAATTATTTTCAAAATTAAGGAAAAAGTTTACATAAAAGAAAATGTAGTGCTTGATTCCTCCAGGGATTGTTTGACGCCCAAAACGTATGGTTATTTTGTGGAGGCTATTAGGGAAATGGGAGGTGCCGGTCAAGGCCCGGGGGGAGGTTACGCGAAACCATCTGTTGTGGACCAGTATGGAAGAACATTTCGGAATTTTGCTAAAACGGTGGCTTACAAACTTCGCTTAGAAGAAGATGCAAGTAACATTAAACAAGTTAAGGAATGGCAAGACATCTTTGATGATTCATTTTCCGACCGAGTTTCAAGTGTAGCTCGGAAGCAGGCAGACCGAAAGACACTTATACAACGTCAGGCCATTCCAATCATGGAAGACGTACAAAAATTAATTAATTTTGTTAAAATGAAATTAGAAGAATCCTTCACCGCGTTAGAGGGAGGTTTTAATGAAAAAGCTTATAGAATGTTTGTAAAAGTCCTGCTACTAAAATTATGGATCTTTAATAGGAAGAGGGTTAAAGAAATAGATCAAATCACTGTTGAGGATTGGTACAACGCCCAAGAGGTAGACGAGAGAAGCGATGAATACCTCTCTCTTAGTAACTCAGAAAAATTATTTGCATCTTCTTTTAAACGATTATGCGTGAAGGGAAAATTAGGAAGAGTGGTAGCTTTGTTAGTTTTAAAAGAGGATCTTAAGTATTTTAATAGAATGTTAGAGTTGAGATCAGTGGCCGACGTTGGACCAAATAACAGGTTCCTGTTTGCACGGGGGGAATCATTCGTAGAAGGAACCGCGGTGATGCGAGAATTCGCGAATGAATGTGGGGCTGAAAATCCTACCCTCCTAAGAGGGACCAAGCTAAGGAAACACTTGGCTGTAAGCCTTCAGTATGTCAGCTTAACAACTGAAGACTTAAGGCAAGTGGCAGAAACGTTAGGCCATCGGGAGGAAACCCATTTAAAATTTTATAGGCATCCTGTTTCTGCGTTACATCTCGGCCGGATTAGCAAGCTATTTACAGCGTTAGATAAGGGTAGAATTCAAACATTCAAGGGACAGCCTCTTGACAGCATTGTAATAGAAAATTTGGAGGATTTAGGAACTCAACCCTCCACGGTTCTTCCCAATACACCACCACAAAGCTTTCAGGAAGGCTTTATAAATCGGCAAAATTTAAATACTTCTCCACAACCTGGTTGCTCATACGCAGTACGAGATAGCCCTGATTACGAACGGGGGGAAACAGATACATCCAGTGAAGAGGAAATTCTGTTACCCCGCGGTGAAACTCCTGGGAGAAAGCGAAGACATGCCCCCCGATTAAGACAACGCAAACGTTTTCGTTGGTCGAAAGAAATAAAAGATGATTTGAGGGTGGAATTTAATGAGGAAATTAACAACAGTAAATTACCTGGATTTGATAGGATAAGGCAGGGGTGTAGAAAGTTATCGAATAAGCATAAATCCCTCCTTATTATGAGCCCCAAATTGGTCAGGGGGGCAATTAATAATATTATTCAACAATTAAAAATGAATAAATAAAAAATATTTTATTATAAAATTTATTATTAATCAGATGTCTTTTTGCAGATTACAACGTGCACCGTGGTTTCTTTTATCTGTATATTATATACATATATATTTTTTCTGTGAATATTTTGTCAATATTTTAAATTGATTAATTATTTAGTATTATTTTCCTTCAATAGGTTGTTGTATTACGTTTATTTGTTTGTTGTTGTATTTCTTGTTATTTGCTATTATTTATCACATTCCATACGCGGCGACAACCAAAAAAGTCAGTTTCCTCAAAATATTAATTTTTCTCCGTTTATGAAATGTAATGAATAATAAGATAAAAAGCATTCTCTTTTATTAATCATCTAGGAATTGCATTGCGTTGAGCGCTGAAATGAATTAGATGTTCACAGCACCCGGAGCCCAACCTCGGTGGTTGGACATAAAAGACCCGAGGTCTGACCACGGTCTGCCAACACCCGAGGTGGGTGATTCTCCAGGCCTGCCGGTAATGTGTTGCATAAACTGGAATTTACACAAAAAAATTTATTATTAATCAGATGTCTTTTTGCAGATTACAACATGCACCTTGGTTTTTTATTTATTAGAAGCTTTTTATTTAAAAATGATAAAAATAAAATACTTATGTCTATGTGTAATATATACATAAAAATTATAAATCTGTATGGGAATACAAATTTTTCATGAATTTTTTATATGTGAATATATAATGTTGTTCACGTTTTTCATAGTTTTTATTTCTTTATTATTCCCAATTCACTTTGGCATGCATCTATGCACAAAAAAAAAAAAAGATTTGAGTGTATGTAAAGTTTTATATTCAAAAAATTACATCATTATAATTGAACTTCACAGGTGTGAACGACACTTTATTTAAAAATTTCTTTTTCAAATCTAAAGAGAAAGTTTTTGTAAATAATTTTATATAAATCTTTTTATAACATAAAAGTAGAGAAAATGAAATATTAAAAAACGCACTCTTGGCGAAGATGGCAATTAGACACGTGTCTGTCGTAATAAAACTTTTTCCTCATTTGTTACAGAAGTAATGTAACAAGATGAACATTTATTTTATTTTAAATCTTAATAAGATCATAAGGGAAACATTTAAAATTTTTCTGACTACTTTCGTTTAGATCGGTTTAAAAATGAGTATAAAATGAATTCGAACTCGTTTTCCGAACAGAAACGTTCTCAGAACGCATATTAACGTTTGACGGGGATGATGTTCTTATGATTAAGAGCGGAATTGATAAAACAAGTTTAAAAGACATTATAAATGACTTAAATGTTGAAATTTTTTCGGACAGCATCAAATCATCCGATACAAGTGGAAAAGCGGGGGAAAACTCGGAAATTTTTTTGACTCGTTTCTCTTATAGTGCGATCCAAAAAACGGAAAAACGTTGGAAGTAAGAAAATCCATTCGAGCCGTATAAGAGATATAAGAGGAAAAGCGGAGGCAAACACGGAAAATTTTTTTGACTGCTTTCTCATATAGTACGATCCTAAACTAACGGAAAAACGTTGGAAGTAAGAAAATCCATCGAGCCGTCTACGAGATATAAGAGGAAAAGCGGAGGAAAACTCGGAAAAATTTTTTGACTTGTTTCTCATCTAGTACTATCCAAAACTAAAGGAAAAACGTTGGAAGTAAGAAAATCCAGCGAGCCGTCTACGAGATATAAGAGGAAAAGCAGAGGAAAACTCGGAAAATTTTTTTGACTTGTTTCTCATCTAGTACGATCCAAAACTAAAAGAAAAACGTTGGAAGTAAGAAAATCCATCAAGACGTCTACGAGATACAAGAGGAAAAGCGGAGGAAAACTCGGCAAATTTTTTTGACTTGTTTCTCATCTAGTACGATCCGAAACTAACGGAAAAACGTTAGAAGTAAGAAAATCCAGCGAGCCGTCTACGAGATATAAAAGGAAAAGCGGAGGAAAACTCGGAAAATTTTTTTGACTTGTTTCTCATCTAGTACGATGCAAAACTAATAGAAAAACGTTGGAAGTAAGAAAATCCATCGAGCCGTCTAGGAAATATGAGAGGAAAAGCGGAGGAAAATTCGGAAAATTCATTTGACTAGTTTCGTACGTACTTTGGCCCAAAACTAACGGAAAAACGTTGGAAGTAACAAAATCCAGCAAGCCGTCTAGGAGATATAAGAGGAAACGCGGAGGAAAACTCGGAAAATTTATTTGACTATTTTCCCAGCTAGTTCGGTCCAAACCTAACGGAAAAACGTTGGAATTAAGAAAATCCATCGAGCCGTCTTCGCGATATAAGAGGAAAAGCGGGGGAAAACTCGGAAAATTTATTTGACTGTTATAAATACAATTAACGCCAATAAATATATTGAAAAAATTATGTACTTTCACGTTGATATGTATATTGTTTTTTTAATGGACGTAAATAGTCGTATGCAAAGTACAAGGAAAATTCGGGAAATTTCCCCGCTGGAGGAACCCTGGGAGGTCGGCGATATTTTAAACGCATGAAAACTGCACGGGCGAAAAAATATTTAAAACGCCTGAATACCGTACCCAGTTTTGGTCCCGGCCCGGCCTCGTGCAGTATTCATGCCTTTTAGGTAAATATATATATATATCTCACATGGGCGATGACTAAACTTATTTGAGGTTTTCCTGTTGTGGGAGGTTATACACACTGCCACAACGGATTTACCACTTTTTCTCATTATCACAGCTTGTTATATATATATATATATATGAATTGTTATGATTTCTTTGGGGAGGGCTCTTGTATTGTTCTAAAATTCCAAGAAACCAAAATCATTATGTTGTAGTTCCCTATCAATCAGGTTGTATGCAATATTAATTTTCATTTTTCATTCATTTTCATTTTTAATGAGCACATGAATAGTATAAAACCCTATTCATCTACACCCTAACCACTTGGCCAACGCGGTCCTCTGAAATTTTGACCACTTTGCAATTTTCCTCATTATTGTCAATTAATAAAGCGATGGTCTTCCCCGGGATTAGGACCTAGAATCGCTAGCGAGGCAAATAAGGAGCCTAACACCCTAACCACTTGGCCCCCGCGGTCCCCTGAAATTTTGATTATTGTAGTACTATTGTTCGCTGAACTCTAGCGAAACAATACCCTGATCTAAATTATTAAAATTTTATACAAATGTTATGAAACAAGGGCTGATTTTACGTGAACAAAAGAGCAGAGTTATCGGGTTTTCGGCGAGATTAGAAAACCCCGGCTACACAATAGGTCCGATTACTTTGAACGCACGGCTAGCCGCAGTGACAAGTTGTCGTCCGGGGCGAATCAGATTCCGTGATTGCAGAATTGAAATTGTTCCTTTTTATTCTGCACGCCCGCACTCTGCGATCATGAGGTAATGAAGTGTCGCCACGTGTATGTCGGCGAATTGATTTGCCCGGTGGTGCTTTATCGTTGTGCGTTGAAGGTCTTTTAATCATGCGAATACCGGAAAAAAAAGGCAGCACAATAAGATGCTATGAAGAAATCGGTTCTCGCCCTGTTGATCTGAACGGGTAGGTGGTGCTGCCTAATTTGCAAAATGGTGTGAAAATCATAAATAATCCCTGGGTTTTGTATATTCGGAAACGCGCTAACCTTAAAATAATTACACCGGAGCTAATCTGACCAATCGAAAAGCGATAAATTTGTAAAATAACCGAACATAGTATTTTTGCTCCTTTTAATTTTATCATGTAATAATTGGTATAATTAATAATTTATAATTCCCAAAGAACGAGCGTGTATAATTGCGGTTAATATAATTTGCTCCAGTAAATCACTTCGTTTCTCTTGACTCTATTCTAATAATAATAATAAAGTAGGAAGTTTATGGGCCGACAAACACTTAGGTCATCGCCTTTCCTATTTCTTCTTTTTCTCTTCTTTCGCGCATATTTTGTTTTAAACTGCAGCCATTTGAGCGTCTCAATCTGGTTTCTGACTCTCTGTTTTTAAATGTGTACCACTTCGATATGCTAGCATCTCGTTTGTACCTCAGGTTGTCAAATACAGAGTAGAAACAAAACATACGATACATATATATATAACAAAAAACATAGATGTCTGGCCACATTTACTCCCCCAGAGTATTCGATATTCCTCAGGGAGTAGTTGAACCCACTCCATTCTCGCTAATAACTACTTTTACTCTCCAACCGACACACACTCAACCCAGGGTACTCGATATTCCTCGGGACAGGGTTACAACCAACCCCTTCCTTTCACGCTAATAAATAACATTCATTCCAATAATTGAACACAAACACAACACTCGACAGAAACATAGAAGTCTGGTCACATTCACTCCCCCAAAGTATTAGATATTCCTCGGGGAGCTTGTGTGAAACTATTGTAAATATTAATTGCATGACACGTGAAAATAACATTAATAAAAGGTAAAAGAATTCTTGAAGCCCAGCAGCTCCTCACATGATTAATTTATGTTTATTTATTTATAATATATTAAAATTATATATAATTAATAATATATAAAAATTATAATATACATCGACAGACAAGGTCCAAAAAAAGTGCAGTCATAATCAATAAAACATAATCAAAAGAATAAGGTAAAAGAAATAAAATAAAAGTAACAAATTATACAGGGTGTCTTTACTCAACGCATTAACTTACATAAAAAAGTAAACATAAACCATTCTAAACACCATATGGAAGAAAAAACACATATAAACCACGGTCTCATTCTCAACCCTTTCGCAGATAATATCATTATTCAATATCTATACCCAACACTTTATGTGTTTTTTTAACTATGTACAGTTTCCATCATACTACTCGTAATTCATGAACTAGTCATAATTGTCAAAATCCAAATAAGTATTGAGAAATGCGTTGCATTTGCTTTGAGAAGGTATCCTTCTAGAACTTTCAATTAAATTTTTGGAAACAAAAGAGAAACTAAATTTTTCAAAAACTGCTAAATTTGCTGTCAGATACCATTGTAATCTCCTTGAGCTATACAAGGGTGCTACGGGCCAATAACAAAAATAATCGAAATGGATGTGGTGGATATGCTATTGTTATTGGATACTCCCTGCTATATGAGGAGACGGAGGGCAAAAGAACGGAAATATCTGGTAGTCAGAGGTAATTCTTGTTTCGCATATCCCACAAGGGAACGTGATATTCAACTACACTAATTAGTTTTTCGGTGTCCATGGTGAAGTAAATGTAAAAAAAGTCAAAGTATTTACTTAACTTCCGTTGT